AAAGAAGTCTTCGTGGAATTATATTCTTAATAAGTTTCATAAGAAACTTTATTTGTGGGGGAGCAGGAAGCTTTCTATAGGTGGTAGGGTGGCATTGATGAACGCGTTTCTCAATAATGTGTCCATTCATTTCTTTCCTTCGTTAAGGATCCAAAAGGGGTGATTAAAGAGATCATTAAGTTGCAAAGAAATTTCTTGTGTGTGTGTGTGTGGGGGGGGGGGGGGGGGAGGAGAAGAAGAAGGATAATAAATTGGTTGAGTTGGAAGGTGTGTCGTGATAAGGGGGATGAAGGATTAGAAGTGAAACATAGTAAAATATAACAAAGCTCATATGAGTAAATGAATATGGAGAATTATAAGTGAGAAATAGGCTATCCAACATGGTATTCTATCTTTTAGATATAGAGACATTTTATCCAAGATTAGTGAGGTTTTTTTTAATGGGGTTGGTAGAAGAAATTTAATTTGGTAGAGGGATCTTACCTTGCTAGATAATGATCAATCGATTAACCAGTTCAAGTTTTATGGCAGTATTAATGGCAAGTTTGGTAATGGATAAAGTATGAATTTCTGGATGGTAAGATGGTTGGGTAATATTGAGTTAGTTATAGCTTTTCCGGACTTATATAGTAGTATGAAGAGGCCATCATTGAATATTATATAGATGGGTTATTGGAATAATTAAAATTGGATGTGAGATTTGTTGGGAAAATAGCAAAAAAATAAAAAATTCTACGCGCGGAAGCATACCAAAAAAAGAAAAAGAAGCAAATAATTCCAACAAAAAACTCATAAAATCATACTTTAACTTGTAATTTTTACAAGGACAAAATTACAAACCCTCCCATAAAATTGCAAATTTTAAGGAGAAAATTAGAAACCCTCCGAATTACAAATTTTGAACGAAAAAATGTAAACTCTCTTAATTACAATTTTTTGGACGAAAAAATTACAAACCCTCTCTCAATTAAATATTTTGGACGGATAAAATTGCAAACCCGCTCTCTATTGCAACTTTTGGACGGAAAAACTGCAAACCTTCTCTCAATTGTAATTTTTGGACGGAAAAATTGCAAATCCTCTCAACAAATTATTTTTGAACGAAAAAATAAAAAAATTCTCTCAACAAACTATTTTTGAACGGAAAAATAGGAAACCCTCTCTAAACACACAACTATCCAAATTCTATTTTTTTTACTACCCGATGTGGGACTTGAATGAATATATTATTTGACCCAACAAATCCTCCCTTCATCCAAAGTCTCACATATCTTCACTTTGTCTTTAACTTCATCTTCAAAGCGATCATTATAATTATAATGATTAGGCATATTTGTAAAATTATTACTCTTCAATCTTTTTGTCTTCTTCCTCCCTTAATCAGAATAATTGTTATTCTTCCTTCTTCCCTTGATCGGAACCAGACTCTGATACCAGTTGTTGGGAATATAACAAAAAAATAAAAAAAAATCTACACACGAAAGCATACCACAAAAAAGAAAAAGAAACAAATAATTCCAACAAAAAATTCATAAAATCATATTTTAACTTGTAATTTTTACAAAGGACAAATTACAAACTCTCCCATAAATTTGCAAGTTTTAACGAGAAAATTACAAACCCTCCAAATTGTAATTTTTGAACGGAAAAATTGTAAACCCTCTCTCAATTATAATTTTTAAACGGAAAAATTGCAAACCCTCTCTCAATTGTAATTTTTGGAGAGAACAATTGCAAACCCTTTCTCAATTGCAATTTTTGGACGGAAAAACTACAAACTCTCTCTCAATTGCAGTTTTTGCATGGAAAAATTGTAAATTCTCTCAACAAACTATTTTTGAACAGAAAAATAAGAAACTCTCTCTAAACGCCCAACTTCCCAAATTCTATTTTTTTCTACTATCCGGCGTGAGACTTGGATGAATATACTATTTGATCCAACAAGATTTACATTCAAATGTGGCTGAGCTGTCTGAAGTAGGGAGGGAACAATGGGCCAAAATTCATTTTATTTTGCAGGAAGTATCGATGGTTCATCAGGAGGAGGATTCTTTTGTTTGACGAATGCATTCGACAGGTTTTTAGATAAAATCGTGTTAATTCAGGCTTGCTAAATCTTTTACTGCATCCACAAATATTCCAACTTAAGCGCAACAAGTTTTGGATGTTATACGGGATGTTAAAGCACCGAACAAATACCTCATTTTTGGTTGGCGAGTGATGCTTAACATTCTGCCTACGAAACATGAATTATATCACACAAATACCTTATTTTTATCTCATTTTTGCTTATAAAAAATGGCATTCTCCATGAAGGCAATGAATTACGTAATCGATTCAGAGATAAAGGTCATAGTTTAGGAGTAAACTAACATATTACAATGATTCCAAGCTCAATAAGTAAAATCAAAGGTGTCAGTAAGAAAATAGATGCTTCCATTAATGGATTCTAACTTTATCTTTCCACCAAGAGCCCTCATCATGGATTGATTCCAAGAGTGATAGTTCGAACCTGTTAGTTTTGGAGAAATAAAAACAGAGGTAGGTCAATCACTAGGATGAAAAAAATACATTGTAAATAGATCTAGAATTAGATTAAGAAATTGATCACGAGGAGCCATGAATGAAGAACAAAGAAGAGAACATAGATAAAGCGGTGGAAGAAGGATCTTAAAGGTGGATGATATCATGTTGAACTTATGCTAATGACAAAATTAATGAAAGCGCTGAGAGAGAATATTATTCACTACAATTGAATGATACCAATGGAAGAAAACTCTATTTTATATATGAAATTCAAATAGGAAAAATGAAAAGCATTAAAAATAGTTATATTAACTATCTTATTAACTAAGATTGGTTAAAACTAATACCTTAACCAGTGTTTTAAAAACTAGACCATACTAGCCGATCAAATCGATCGAATTGAGAATCGAAAGAGTCATTAATCTAGTTTGATTGCTGAATTAGATAAATTATTGAACCAGTGGGAATAGGCAAGAATCGGCCAAAATCTCTGAATCGACAGTTTTGAAAAATCAACAGGTTAAATGATCGCTTATTCTTAGCCCATTCAGAACCGACCAACGTCGTTATGATATATATATATAAAAGTAGACTTTGTTTAAAACTTATTTGCAATAACTTTCTCTCATTAAAATTAAATTTATTAGACACTACAATCATTTTTTTATTCAGTTTATGTTGCAATTAAAATTTGTTCAAAACTCCCAATTTTTGCTTAGGGACATGCAATTTTGCATGCTGTAACATTGATTCGTATCAGGCAAACGAGTTACCACACCTCTTCCCATTTATAATGACTTGATGGTAACCTAATATTTCCCATCTAAGAATTTTTGGATGTGCGGTGTATGTTCTAATTTCTCTACCACAACGCACTAAGATGGATCCTCAAATGATAATGAGAATATATGTTGAATATGAATCTACATTCATTGTAAAGTACCTTGAACCAACAACAAGAGTTTTATTCACCACTCATTTTGCTGATTGTCTCCCTCTAATTTCTTTTCTTATTTATAATAATTTGTATTGATTAGGAGTGAGGTAGTTCCCTCATAAAGAATGTTGTACTATTTTTCCTTCACCAGAATTTTTTTTCCTGGAGTTTTTCTAGTAAGGTTTTAACGAGACATATTAAATAACATTCATGGAGGAGTGTTAAAAAGGGAATGATTATGGATGTCTGTCAATTAGAATATTTCATATTGATTTTCTATTTATTATATATGTTCTATAAATAAAGTTCATATTGTATTTGAATGACACATTGATAATGAGAATAATACAATACAATCTCTTATTCTCTTTTCCTCTTCTATTATTTTGTTTAGGCAAAATGTCATTTTTAGTCCCTTAACTTTATTTCGGGATCCACTTTGGTCCCTTAATTGTTAAAAAGATCAATGTAGTTTCTTATATCTTCAAACAACGTCATTTAAGTCCTTTTCTTCTAATTCTCACAAACGGCGTACATTTCTACATATGTGACATGTGTTTATAAGCGTGTAACAAGAATCAAACCCATATCTATTTGATTACTTGGAAAGAAAGTATACCACTAAGTCACATTACAATTGTTTATTTATTTTACAAATCATATATCATATATATATATATATATATATATATATATATATATATATATATATATATATATATATATATATATATATATATATATATATATATATATATATATATATATATATATATATATATATATATATATATATATATATATATATATATATATATATATATATATATATATATATATATAAACAACCTAGGTAACATTATCTTTAGAACAAACCTTATGAATATAATATTTGATTTTACGGTGTGTCTATATGTTGCAAAGCATTCTTTCTTTCAAATCACTTTTGAAACATTTTATCCTTCTTTTGTTATGAATATTCTTATCGAACTTTTTACCCATCAATACATCATGTGATATACGCTCATGCTTGAACACACTCCAGTTTCTCTCCAAGAAGAAAGAAACCCTCAATGCGGTAAAGCTTAAATGTCAACAGCTTTCTATAACCTAATATGAATTCATAAGGTTGATTGTGCTGTAGCCATTTCCTATCAAAGCATGGTCATTCATAATATCCTATCTTGAAAAAAAAGAAACTGTTAAAGAAATGTGTTGATTCTTTATTTTAATTAATTAATAATTATTTTGTTTTTTGTTATTAGCAAAATTTATAGCACTGTGAAATTGCTTGTAGCAAAATCTCTTGTCTTATTCTCTTTTGCTGACTTTTGGCACTTGCTTGTAGCACTCTCCCACATTTTTTTCTCATGAGTGTCTTCTCTAGATTATGATTCTCTAACTCTGCCTTCTTTATCATGAGTGACTTTAGTTATTTTTTTAAAGAGAAAAATAAAAACAGAAGAAAAAAAAGGAGGGAAATATGATGTACTAATACGTTAAAAAAGAAAATAAAAAACAAACAACTAGTACGACAATGGGAAGTGCCAATGTTGCATCAACACTTGTCTACATGGCAGAGAGGTGCACTTCCATGCGATACCTCAAGCTCATCCATGCTCACGCCTTCCGCACATGCCTCCACCAACACACCGTCGTTCTCGGCAAGCTCTTCCGCTTTGCCGCCGTCTCTCCCTTCGGCGACTTATCCTATGCCCACAACATGTTTGACCAAATGCCCCATCCATCCACCTTCTTCTACAACACCCTCATCCGTGCCCATTCCCACTCCACTACCCCCTCCCTCTCCTCCCTATTCTTCAACACCATGAGGCAAAATGACGTCGCTCCAGATGAATTCTCCTTCACCTTCTTGCTTAAGTCACGTTCTTTCACCAGCCCTTTTGTCCACGACACACACTGCGCCGTTTTCAAGTTTGGTTTTCGCCGCCACTTGCATGTCCAGAACGCGTTGATACACATGTATGCTGTTGGGGGACTGACCCTTTTGGCTCGTAGGGTTTTTGAGGATGCCCTTAAACTGGGTTTGGATGTTGATATTGTGTCTTGGTCCGGGTTGCTTGTTGCGCACTTAAGAGCCGGTGAGTTGGATGTTGCACGAAAGGTATTTGATCAAATGCCTGACAGAGATGTTGTTTCGTGGACCATCATGTTGTCTGGTTATTCGCAGGCCAAGCGGCCCCGCGAGACCTTGGCATTGTTCCAGGAGATGAGGCTTGTTGGGGTGTGGCCGGATGAGGTTACCATGGTGAGCGTGATTTCAGCTTGTGCGGAGTTAGGTGACGTGGAAATGGGTAGGATGGTGCACCGGTTTGTTGAGGAGAATGGGTTTGGGTGGATGGTCGCACTCTGCAATGCTCTCATTGATATGTATGGAAAGTGTGGATGCTTGGAGGAGGCATGGCATATGTTTGATAGGATGAAGAGGAAGAGCTTGATCACATGGAATGCGATGATGATGGTGTGTGCGAATCACGGATATGCTGATGATGCATTTAGGTTATTTGGACGGATGATTGGTTCTGGGGTTGTGCCTGACGGGGTGACAATTCTGTCTCTTCTTGTAGCATATGCTCATAAGGGGTTGATTGATGACGGAATTAGACTGTTTGGGAGCATGCAGAGGGAATATGATGTGCAACCTAGAATCGAGCATTATGGTGCGGTGGTGGATATGTTAGGACGTTCAGGGAGATTACAGGAGGCATACGATCTGCTTACAAGCATGCCAATTCCAAGCAATGATGTTATTTGGGGAGCTTTACTTGGAGCCTGCAGGATTCACGGTGATGTTGGCATGGGAGAAAGGGTTATAAAGAAGTTGTTGGAGTTGAAACCAGATGAAGGGGGATACTATATTCTCCTCCGTGATCTCTATGTTGCTGCAGGCCGGAATGTAGAAGCCAATGAGATGAGGCAAGCCATGCTAGCTAGTGGAGCAAGGAAAAATCCTGGCTGTAGTTGGGTGGAAGCATGAACTTTAGATGTGCATAAGCAATCATTATGAATGGCAATTTGATGCCTCAGTGCAGGCTGTGCATTTGTGCTGTAGAGGTGTCCGCAGGGAATCTTCCACATCTCTGATTTTGCCACTGTATTGTTGATGTGAGGAGGAAAACAAAAGATTGGTTGAATCATTGTTAGACCGCTTTAAAAGAACTTATATTGTTAAATTTTGTCTCGTGTCTTGTTGTCATTACCAGCTTTAAAGCACTGACAGTTAGAATGTCAATCAACATGCCTTGCAAATCAATGGAGCTGATTGACGTGTCCGAAAATTTGTTCCATCTCAACCGTTGAATTATCCTCTTCCCTCTAAGGTACTCTACTTCATCTTGAATTGTATTTCTGTTTTTCTGAATCTGAACTTTTTTTTCAAGCTAAAAATTGGGACTTAGATTCCACTAGAGTGGAAGATGCAATAGAATACAAAAAAAGAATTATTACAAAATATAAACACATAACCAGTTACACTATTAGAAATATATATTGCCTTATATTATGCAAGATGTTGAAAATCGTTTCAAATATGAGAACAGGCTAACTTATTAGAAATATGTAATGACTTGTCTTCCAATAAAAGTTGGTCTGATTCTAACTGCTATGGATTGGTATATATTTTTTTGATTAAAAGTTTCTCTGTATTTCAGTGGAAATGAAACTAGTGAGTAGTTCTGGTCTTGACAATCAAGGTTTCTTACCAAATGACTTTTCTGGACTGCATAATCGTCAGGTTGGCTAGCTACTCTACATGGGTTTTTGGATTGTTGCCTTATAACAGATGCCTTAAACCAAGCACCGAAAGAAGATATTGTACAAACATGTTGTCTTTTTGTAATGGAATTCTTCATACACCACATTGTATTTAGTGTTGGAGAAATGATATAACATATAAGTAGTCGCACCCTCTTTATTACTCCCTCCGTCCCAAAAATAATTGTGTCATTTCACACATATTAAAAAAATGTAATGAATCAAAGAGAGAGAATAATATTTTTACCAAACTATCTTTGTTTATTATTGGTGTATTCGAATTATCATAAATGTAGAATGAGAGAGTAATACATTGAGAGTATTAATTAAATGACATAATTGGAAGATAAACATTAGAATTGCATTGGAAACTAAAATGCGACACTTATTTTGAGACAAATAATTTTATAAGATGCGACAATTATTTTGAGACAGAGAGAGTAATTTTTTACTAGCAAAGGCAAAGAAGTAGGACCTTGTAGGAAAAATCAAGAAAGACGACATACCAAGGACTACAAAAATCAATGCCCAATTTTTTTGAATCTATGTGGAGTTCATCTGCAGGCTCATATAAACTATTGACCATCTTGGAGACCATTATTACAAATACAGGTAATATTGCTCCATTTGCCACTGCAGCCATTGTTCCTATAAGTAATACTAGGATCTCAGGCTTGTTTAGATAAGCTAAGGGGGGAAATGGTATATGTGGAGGTGGCGGTTGTTAGGTTACCGAAGGAGGAAGATCAACTTCTTCGTCAGATATTTCTAAAGGAACAGTTGTTGTAGAAAGTGCATGTAACACCGAGAATGAGTGGCGACTAACGTTTCTGACTCCAAAAACATGGCTTTGATATTGCAAGTGATAAAATCTTTGGCTTTTAGAATTTGAAATACTTTCTGGTTGGTCAAAGTCACCTAGAATGAGTGACGACTAATGGTTTCCAACTCCAGAAACTTCTTATATATTACAAGTGAGAAAATCTTTGGCTTGTAGAATTTGAAATACTTTTTGGCTGGTCAGAGTCATTTGCAATATTTTGTTTTTCTTCCTCCTTTTTAGATTTTGTTTGGTAAAAATAGCGGTTGACTGATAAGTTAGCTTATAGTTTATAGATTATGACGGATGGCTGATGACTGATAATTTATAGTCTAGAGTTAATGACTGATGAGTTATAGATAATAAGAAAATTGAAATGTTTTGTAAAATTAGCATTTTAATTTGTTGATAAATTAAAATGACATAATAATTTTTTTTATTTTAAATTATAAGGGTAGTAGTGTGATTTAGTTAAAAATGATAAGTTATAAGTTAAAATGCTATTTGAAATAATGTCTGGAAAATAAATTGTAAGCTAGTAAAATAAGCTATAAGCTCGTGAAGAAAATACCGTAATCAAACAAGTCTTTTTTTGTTATATGAGCTTATAGCTTATAAGCTGTAGTTCAAAAAATGTCTTGCCAAATAGAGTTTTAGTCTCTTGTAAACTTATGAATTATGACCATAGGCCCCATCAGGATCCTTAGTGAGCTCCTCATCTGAAACCTTGTTATCATCCCTAAATCATTAGAATGTGGCCAGAAAACTAAATTCAACCAATTTCCTGTTAGGAAACTATAGCAGCACAATAGGAAGTTTATAAGTTCAGCCAATTAAAAAAATATGAAATTCAAGGAAAAGAAATCCGTGAACTCAGATGCTGGTTAGATTCAGTAAGGAAGTATCTTTACCTTTTTCTACAATTATTCCTTGATGAATTACGGCGATAGCATTTCTTACAGTACTTAAGCGTGGGCTATAATAACAGTAGTTCTGTTTATCATGATTTTGTCTAGTGCCTCTATTTTTTTCAGATTCTGAATCAAGGGCACTTGTAGCTTCATCAAGAAGTAGAATTCTCGGATCTTCCAAAATTACTCTAGCTATAGCAATTCTCTGCTTTTGACCAACACCACCTGAGAGTTGCATTCCACGTTCACCTATCATTGTAGCCAGCCCCTAAATTTTGTTTTGCAAAATTATCAAGGCTAAAGGACTATCCAGTATAGGTTGTTATTTAAGGTAATTTTTAAACAAGACAGTTCATAGTATAACTCTGATCTATGTTTGGTCTGTATAACTTCAGAGACTAAATGGAAACAGAACTAACTATGTTTGGCCATCCTTACCATAGCCAATATTTTCTTTAATGCTACCTGTAAACAGAACTAACTCCTGACTGACAAGACCTATTTTCTGTCTAATCCATTTGACAATGATTCCGTCGATGAGAACTTGTCCAGCTTGTGGATCATGAAACATCTCCATCTAGCTAATAACTGTTCATTTTCCCACTCTGCCCCATCAAGGCTGCTTTTGTTCCCCTTGGTATTGCAAGAGAAAATCCATTGAATATAGCTTCATCTGACCTTGGAGAATAACTAAAACTCGCTTCTCTCAGTTCTATATCTCCACCAATATCATCAAGCTGCTGACCTGTTGTGTCATATGCATCAAGATCTGGCTTCCTTTTAATCGTTTCAAACATCTTAAACACGACAGTCCGTTCTAAAGCTAAAGCGCTGAGTCCAGGAGTCGGCTGAAAAAGAGAGCTAAAAATGGAAAAAGAAATACCATCAGACTATCGTCTTTCTACATAGTAAACATAGAAGCAACTTTAAGGGAGCCTGTCATTATTGCAAAAATTATAGTCATAATGTTCCGTCCTGTGTATCCTTTTTCTAGTACCAGTTCCCCACCAAACCATATGCACAAAAAACAATCAAATGAACTAAACTGAATCCGAAACCGAAAACCATTCCCTCTTGCACATCACTCCTGTATGTTTTTGTTAAAAAATGGCATCTTGAATAAGAATTGTGCGCTTGACATTGTTCCAATAACCTCATCAGTATTAGTTTCTCCATGTCAAAGAAACTGATATGTTGCCTCAAAATTGCTTTAAGGTATAGATTTCTAATTCTTGATGCCTGTCTCTCCCCGGTGACTATCCAGCAAGACACCTCTAGCATATCGTAGACACATACATCTTTGTCATAATAGGCTATGTTTTTAGTTTTGTTTTAACCCTCCACTTCTCAGGAGAAACAGACGTGTATAGTATTATGATCAATGATTGTTTCAGCTAAGATTTGAATTTGAATACTACTGATTGATTTATCTTTAATTGAAACTTATTAAACACTTGAGTTCAACTACTTAATTATAATAGAATGATTTAAGTTGACATAACAAAGTTGCATTTAAGAAGTATTTATGCAGAATTTGAAGTACTTACGAGAAACCGATACTACAAGGAACCAACAGCCAAGTATACAAATCATATACTCTCAATATCGAATTTGAAACCAAAGCACAATAGTAACTTTGAGGTCATCCAAATTGCATCCTAGCCTGAATTTCTTCAAAAGATTCTGTCTTCCATGCATGCATGCCATGACTTCCTCATTTAGTAAACCTAAGTCTATGTTGGTGATACTAGTAATTAGAATTCAACAGGTTAAGCCAAATGCAAGACATTGAATAAAAGAAGCTGCTAAATCTCTTTGGAGTGGAAGCGGCTAATCTATTGAGAGAATTTCTTAATTCACCCCTTGATACTCTTAGGTATTAATCTTGACGGCTAATCAAAATCTGAAGTGGAACAGAGACTTTGTCGGTGATACTGAGTTGCAAGGAGGAGGGGGTATACATGCAAGTCACTCCAATGCTAAAGTAAGAATCGAGTGAAGGGAAGACAAACGCGAAAAATGTATGTCTTAGGATGATGTGGAATGAATTAGAATATTTGATCCTCTCAAGTGACAGGGTTTTTATAGTGCCCCCAGCGCTTGACTATTTTCAGGGCGAGATAACCGTTCCCTGAAGAATAAGTAACTGTTCGAAACTAGTCGTCGGGACGGCCGAGCTGCTCAAAACTATCTGTTGGGACGGGCAGGGCTGCTCGAAATTAGTCGTTGCCACGGGCAAGGGCGCGGGCACGGGCGTCGTGACTGTTTCTGGATGGTGAAACCGTGCGTGACAGACAAGAATATGACGAGGGGCAGCTGATCTTGGGGGTTAGTTGGCCAACTTTCCTCGGCAAAGGGATAGAGGAGAGGAAGCTTCACTTTGCCTTTAGCTGACAGGGCAAAGATTATTGGACTGTCCTAGGAGCAGAAATGGATTGGGCTATGCCTAACCATTGGGGCAGTCCAGAACAGGAGCTCCCCAAGTCGTTGCTTCTGAGTACAAGAGTGATGACTTAAGGGCAGCCAGCGGTCCGAGGAGGAGCGGGCGCGGTTGATGCCCGTTACTGAGATGGGATCGTTTCGTAGTGCTCAAAGGCGTCTGCGCTCGGAACGTTGTCTTGAGTGCCCGACGGACGGGGAGACCAACGGTTGATGGGACTTGAATGGATGAATTGCCACGTGTGCATAGAGCCAAGCGTTGCATTTAATGCGTAATGATGACTATCATAGGGTCATGATGATGCCCTACACCGCGCGTGCTCGTGCACGTGTCCCTGCTCTGCCTATAAATAAGGGAAAGAAATGCTCATTTCCACCTTTCGCTTCTCTTCTCTCGCTACCTGCTTTTGACTCCGTCGCTCACCGCCATACCTCTGTTGCACGCACAACGTTCAGGGCTCGTCGACCACCTATTTTTCTTCCTCGATCACGTAAGTTTTCCTATCTCTTCTCTGTTTTAAGAGATTAACTTCTATTTTGATTAGTTTGCATGCAGTTAGGACGAAACTGGATAAAGTATGAGTGGTTTCCGACTATTGTTGGTGGCTGGCGGTGGTTAGGTCATTCCCTGCCGCCGACACCGTCATCGAAGCCTCAGGAACTTAGGTTTTCAATTGATTTTGACACCATTGCGATGGCTGGTGGATTTATCGCTGGTAGGATTCGTGCTTTTTCCGGTGGACCTTCATCGGAGTTCTGGGTAACTCCCCGGAAAGGACCTCACCGCGTGAGTTTTTAAGGGTAGCCAAGGGCATTTTCTCGCGTTGTTGTTGCGCTGTTTGAGTAAGGGTTTAGGTCCGGGATGTTGTCCTCGGTCTTACGCACACCCTTTCATTTGACTAACGGTGGAAGGGTGAATTTGACTTTGTCATCGAATTCACTATTGTCCCCTGTTTTTCATGTAAATGAGATGTCTCACGAAGCTGAGGACGACATCATGAGGGATCTGTCCGAGGAGAGCTCATCGAAAGAGAGCAGTACTGATGATACTCTCGCTCCATGAATGATGGCGATGCCTCCACCCTAAGCAGTACTCCGAACGAATGGGTCATAGCTGAGCCTCGGGAGGACGCCTCCCTTTTTGCTTCTTATACTAGAGATACCTTCATAACGTTGGGGGCTGAGGGAGAATGGAGAGTCCACTTTCTCAGTGAGGATGATTGAATCTGCTCGGCATACGGGTAGAGATTCCCCATGTACGAGTGCGTCTTCAAAGAGATAAGGTTGAGGTTACCCTTTACTGACTTTCAGGTGGCAGTATTTGCACACCTAGATTTGGTGCCCTTACAACTACATTCCAGCTGCCTTCCAGCCCGTCCCCACACCAGCAGGGGCGGATCCGATGATGGCGACCCTCTTCGCAGCCATCAACTAGACCAACTTGATGCTATTCCAGCAGAAAGAGCGTATCGGGATGCTAAAACAGGATCGTCCATCTCGCTTTCCTCCGTAGAGACACCACCATCCCACCCGGAGCCTTTCTCCCGTACTGCGCGAGACACGACCGACATCTCCTCCGCGGAGATCCCAGCGCAAGGATTCTTGGAGCCCCTCTCCCCGTCAATAGGGGCGCCGACCACAATTGGAGAGACCCCAAACCGTGGCCTCCAAGAAGCGCGAGAGGTCACCTCCCCGGAAGGAGAAGCGCTCCCCGGTCCCGAGGAAGAGCAGACCTGACAGATTGAGCAAGAGGACGAAGGGTCGCGGCCAGTTCACTCGACGCAATCCTCCCCCCTCATGCTCCCCTGTCCGAAGTGAAGAGGACAATCACCAAACTCCCTTGTCACGGGACATCATGAAGACTCCCATCCCCCACGGGATGGAGAAGCCACTCGCCCTCTCCACCTATGATGGCATGACAGACCCAGACGACCATCTAGAAGATATCGAAGCCATGCTCGACTATCGAAACGTCCGAGGAGCCATCAAATGCAGGCTCTTCTTGAAGAATCTGAGAAAGGGAGCCATGGCATGGTACAAGAGCCTGGAGCCCGAATCCACCACCTCGTGGAGGGTGCTGAAAGATTTCTTCTCACAACACTTCACGACATCCCGACATCCCGACACCATCCGAAGACGGAAGCAGCCCTAGGCGCGATCATCTAATCCAGGGACGAGTCTCTTAGGAATTATATCGAGAGGTTCACCACGGAGGCAGTACATGTAACTACTTCCGACGACATGAAGCGATACCTCATGGAGCAAAGGCTGCGCCACAGATCCAAGTTCGCCAAGGCCGTGGAAATCCACCGACCAACCACCCTCCAAGGCCTCATCGAAAATGCCTGAGCGTACATCTGGTTCGAGGAGACCGAAGCTGCCAATTTCGTTTGAGACCCCAGAATCGCGAAGTTGCCCGTGACGCTCGGGAAGAAGAAGCACCAGCCCCCCGACACGGGGGAGATCGACGAAGAGATGATCGTCCCCGGGAACCTTGAGAACAGAGGGCCCCCGCATGCCGGTTCCCTGAGTACACGACCCTCATCACTTCCTGCGAGCGGATCTTGGCCGAGTGCGCCAATTTAGAGTTCGTAAGGGGAGGTGTCTGTTTTCCTAAACCGGCACCCCCCAAGGCCAACGTGGACAAGTCCAAATACTGCCACTTCCACCGCGGCCACGGGCACGTCACCGATGATTGCATCCACCTGAAGGACGCGATATAGATACTCATCAAGGATGAGCACTTGAAGAGGTACATCGGGGGGGATGCCCCTCGACAGGAGGCCCACGAAGCCCAAAGGGTCGAGGACATCCCTC